AAAAAATTAGCCGGGCATGGTGGCGCATGCCTGTAGTCCCAGCTACTCGGGAGGCTGAGGCAGGAGGATCGCTTGAGCCCAGGAGTCTGAGGTTGCTGTGAGCTAGGCTGACGCCACGGCACTCGCTCTAGCCTGGGCAACAGAGTGAGACTCTGTCTCAAAAAAAAAAAAAAAAAGTTTATTTCGCAGGCGGGCTCAGAGGGGCCTCGCCACCAAATTCTGAGCCCCATTTACCCGATTTTTCCTACTTTTATTAAGTTGGGGTGGTCCGAGGGGTGGGGTACCAGGCGTAGGTTAGTTGCTGTGTCAGGCAGTAGGTTAATACCATGTTGAGGCACCAGGCGGTAGGTTCAGTGTTACGCTGATGCCGGGCAACAGACTAGTTGGTGGGCCAGGAATCAGGTTAGTACTCTGCTGACATGGGTCTGCCGTGAGGGGTGGGCGTCTCAGGTGCCTGATGAGCCAAGTAACAGCTGGGGGTCTCCCTTAGCAAGAGGAGGCTCAGATTCTAAGCCACTTGATCGAAAGGCCACACTACTAGTGGCTGATGGAACAGAGATTCCTGCTCTGGCGGGGCTGAGTGGTCTATCAGGGGCGTCCTGGACAGGAAATGGGGGTTGTGGCCGACTCTGGTGCCAACTTCTAGGATGACACTTGCTAAGTCACTTCATTCCCATGATACTTGGTTACTCCTGTTTAGTGAGAGTTTTGAGTTACATCCTTTCCCACGTCCCTTCCAGTTCTAATTATTTCACGAATCCGTGGTTTTACTATGTCACAGTAAACTCTTGAGATGGTGCAGAGGGAATAGGAGGGAAAAATAGGACTGGCATATCAGGTGAAAATATCTTTTCATCTGACTGTCAACGGAAAAAAGCCAAGTCTGCAAAATAATTTTAAAGAGATTTATTCTGAGCCAAATTTGAGGACCATGACCTGGAGTCACCGCCAAGAGGCCTTGGGCAAGTGGACTCGCTGTGGCTGGGTTACAGTTTGGTTTTTATACATTTTAGAGACAAGGGTTACGGGTAAAGCCATCAATCAGTGTGTGGGAGGCACACATTGGTTTGGCCCAAAAAGGAGGGCCATCTCGAAGCAGGGGCTTACAGGTTATAGGTGGGTTCAAAGATTCTTTAGATTGTAATTGGCTAAAGACATGAAGCTTTGTCTAAAGACATGGAATGTTTTAACATAAACTGTTTACCAGAGATAAGCCACCATCTGTTGCAAATTGAGGGCCTGCAGGTGTGTCTTGCATACCCTTAGGCCTGTTAATGGGTTACAAAGGAAGTCTCTAAGAAGGGAAGGGGGCATGAAAAGGCCTGTCTGACCTCTCTCCTCCTGGCAGGCAACTTTGCCCTTGAATATTCCTCTGGCCACGAGGGGGTCCATTCAGTCAGCCGGTGGGGGGTGAGCACTTTAGTTCACATGACAGTGAAGGGGAGGACGAGAGGGGGCTAAACATACACAAACATACACAGCTTGAGAAATTGCATGTCAGAGGCATAAGACACTGAACTTCAAAACTGGTTGGATATTGGGCTCAAAGGAAGTGGACAGTTTTTTTTTTTTCTTCTTTAAGAAAAAACTCTTCACAAATTAAGTATAGAAGGAATGTACCTGAAATCAATAAAGGCCATGCATGACAAATCTGCTGCTGACATCATACTGAATGGGGGAAAGTTGTCATATTTTCTTGTAAGAACTGGAACAAGACAATGATGCTGGCTCTTAGCACCCTTATTCAACACAGTACCGGAGTCCTAGCCAGAGCCTTCAGGTGGGGGGAGCGGGCAACTGGGAAGGGCTGCTAGGAGCCCCCGAATGAGCCGCCAATCAGGATGCTGTGGGCACAGAGCCTTCCACACTGAAACCTCCAGGGGAACCGGTAAGTGAGCCACACAGCACCGCCTGCTCTTAGCGTTTCTAAGTGTCTTACAGAAAGGAAGGAGGGAGAGGTGTGCATGGATAAATTAGCATCCAAACAAATTTGTTTACAACCTTACGACCTAGGTTCAGGGTCCACTGAGCAAGGGGCGCGGCCTTCAGAATGGTCCCCAGTGCAGATCCGTGACCGGGGAATTATTACGCCGGGCTCCACGTCAGCGTGGGTTCCAACTGTCAGGGCCCCTTTGACAGACAGACCAGCAGCCTGCTCTGGTGAGCAGAGCAACGGCTTGAAGATCGAGACACCTTAGCTCAAGCCCTCCCTCTGCTAATGCGTAGCAGGGTGACACTCACAGGGCTCTTCACACGGGAGTGTCTCGGCCCGCTGGTCTGTTAACTCTGGTGGTACCCACTTCCTAAGCAGAATTGCCTGCCAGTGCTAGGTCCTCTCAGTCTGCCTGATAAAAAGCAAAGGGTTGGATCTGACAATCTGTTCAGGCTATTGTCAAGTTTGTTGGTATCTGTTGTCTCATTTGTTAAACTTAAAAAAATATATATCCTACTTTGCTACTTTAATATGATCAAAGATTTCAAAAAATTATTAAAATATTTCTCAATAAATACAAACAATCATAATCTTAGACTATTTTGTTCCAATGACACACAAACCCTTCTGAGCTGCTTCTTCTGTTTTTTTTCTTGAGACAGATTTTCACTCTGTTGCCCGGGCTAGAGTGCCATGGTGTCAGCCTCGCTCACAGCAACCTCAAACTCCTGGGCTCAAGCGATCCTCCTGCCTCAGTCTCCCGAGTAGCTGGGACTACAGGCATGCGCCACCATGCCCGGCTAATTTTTTCTATATATATTAGTTGCCAATTAATTTCTTTCTATTTTTTTTTTTTTTTTGGTAGAGAGGGAAATCTCGCTCTTGCTCAGGCTAGTTTCGAACTCCTGACCTTGAGCCATCCTCCCTCCTCGGCCTCCCAGAGTGCTAGGATTGCAGGCGTGAGCCACCGCGCCCGGCCACTTCTGAGCTTCTGATATGCCCTCCGAGTCCTCTTCGCACCCTCCTCATCATCAGTCACTGAAGTGACAATAGTTCACTCCCTTTGGAATAACTCTGACCCAGTTGTCAAAGTCGACAAGGACCAGATTCCCGTCAGGGTATGAGTTTGATCAGCCATGTCCAAAGGTGTAGTTCACTTCCTCTTTTCCAAAGTAGGACATATTTTTCTTTGGGTTTAAAGAGAAAGAGAACGTAATTTTCTCTGGGTCTCTTTCACATGGGTGAAAGGAAAGGAGAGGGTGTGTGTGTGTGTGTGTGTGTGTGTGTGTGTGTGTGAGAGAGAGAGAGAGAGAGAGAGAGAGTTGGTTTTGTCTGTCTTAATCACCTGCCTTTATGGGGATAGGGACATTTTGGTCACATAAATTGCTTTTGTACCATTTGAGTAAGTTGTGAGGGTGCTCACCCCCAGGCGGTGGGTGTGCACTGTACCTGTCAGGTGTGAGTTCACTGTCCCCTGCTCCCCCCGGCCCCCGTCCCCCGCCCCCAGCCAGTCTTTAGCTGTTTACTCAGCCTGGTCTCAGAGAAAGTTCGCGGCAGTCCAGACTTCACCCTCAGGGCAAGGTTCTCCCCCACGGCTGAGACTCTGCACCACGGCCAGCCGCAACCAGAAGGTACGGAGTTGAGGCTTCCTTAGCAGGGTCTTTGCTACACTTGGAGCAGTTGTCTGTTCTGCGACAGCTCTGGTGCAGAGACTGCAGACAAAATGACGGCGCCTCCAAGACAGGACGTGAAGACAGCACTGCCGTTGTCCTTAGAAAGATACCACATTTCTGAAGAGTATGGCTTTCTTCTTCCAAATCCTCTGGTAAGGAAAGAGCCTTGAACCAGATCAGAAACAAGTTTCTTGACATGCTGCTTTGGTTGTTTTTTTGTAAATGTGCGTGACTGTTAAGAGAGGTGCAATATTAATACCAAGTTACTAACCTGGGGAAGATGCTACATATAAAGCAGAGTTATAATTACCAATAAAAGAGAAGTGACAGGCCGGGCAGGGTGGCTCTCGCCTGTAAAACTAGCACTCTGGGAGCCCAAGGCGGGGGAGGATCGCTTGAACTCAGGAGTTTGAGACCAGCCTGAGCAAGAGCCAGACCCCGTCTCTACTATAAAGAGAAAGAAATTAGGCAAACACAACTAAAATTAGAAAACATTAGCCGGGCATGGTGGCGCATGCCTGTAGTCCCAGCTACTCGGGAGGCTGAGGCAGGAGGATCGCTTGAGCCCAGGAGTTTGAGGTTGCTGTGAGCTGGGCTGATGCCACTGCACTCTAACCCAGGTAATGTAGTGAGATAGTGAGACTCTGTCTCCAAAAAAAAAAAAAAAAAAAAAAAAAAAGAGAGAGAGAGAAAGAATTGACAGCTACAACAGAGGGTGTAAATAAATGGAATGGTTTTTGTGCCAGTTTCTTTTACTAGATTGTCAGGCCAGGAAAATTATAACCAAATCTGTATTTATAAAGAAAAAGAATGAGCCTAGATAAAGATAAATTATATGCATTAATATAAGAGCCGCAGCAATAGCTGCACTGCGATTCCCTGGCCTGTTCTCCTACACACTGTAAGGTATTAGCCAGACACAAGGTCTTCCAACAGAGAACAGTTGGAATTTATCTATTACAAATTCTATCCTTTGCATTGCATATATGTCTGTAATGCAAAGTTTTCCAAGAGGGCTTGTTCACAAACTACCTCTGACATTTTGGTGTAAATTAGCCAACTTGACTTTCTCCTGGGAGCGAAAAGGAGAACATGAAGGATCTTAGGTGCTTTCAAGGGTGGTGGGAAGAATTTCTGAGAAGAGGAAGGAACTGATAAGCAGTACCTCTTTCTTAACTCTACTTAGGGATTAACCTGGAATGCAAATCTGGTTCATTAGCCAGGCCTTTTCAACAGTTTTCTCATTGAATGTAGCCCAAGGCCTAGACTACTAAAACCCTAAGCGTTTGTTTTTACAACCCTCTGGTCCCAGTTCCCTCTTTTTACATTTGGGCCACTTGTCCAAAGTCATTATTAGTGGCAAAAGCAGAGCTAATATTGAAGACTCTTAGCCTATTTTTCTATCACATCCTAAACAAGGGCCAAGACCACACAGTTAGCAGCCTCGGGAACTGATGGTGCAGTTTGCTCTGATAGCAGAACAAACTCCCTGCCTTCCCTCCACCCTCCTAATTTTCCATTTAATGATGAAGGAACAATGGTCTAGAGTCCAACGAGCTTTTATTGAATACCTGCTCTGCCGCTGATTTACTTCTAAGTGTTACTGGAGAGAGATCAATGGCAATAACAACTATCTGCTGCTTTCAAAGTTCTCTGTAGAGAGCTGTTGGCCTTGAGCCAAGTCGCAAGTCTGCAAGTCACTTGGGCATGGAAGTCACCACCAAGGGGTGTTGTGTGGAGTAGGCTTGTGGTCCAGAGTCCTGGACTGTGTTCTCTGACAGCTTCAGTGGGGTGACTACGTGTCCCCGGCTGCCAGGCACTGAAGGGAGTCCTGAGGTGCAAGACGTTCAGTGCTACACAGGGAAAGTCCTGGGAAAGCCAGATTGTGTCAATCCCCCTAATTTGCATTTACTAGCCCTTGTGACCTTGAGTCAATCAGGAGCACCAGACACCCCCCATCCCCCCACCCCGTCTTCACATTTGTTGCTTGGGGACCTGGTGCCGCCTCCACTACTGCTGTGGACAGTGGCTGTGGAAGCATTTTGATACATCCCGTGCAGGGACCAGACGGCAGTCCTCCCGGGTCTCAGCCCAGTGCTCGTTAAAAGCGCCACTCTTCACGCCTGGAACCCTAGCGCTGTGGGAGGCCGAGGCAGGAGGATCACTTGAACTCGGGAGTTCCAGACCAGCCTGAGCAAGAGCGAGACCCCAGCCCTACCAGAAAGAGAAAAATTAACCAGGTGTGGTGGCAAGCACCTGTAGTCCCAGCTACTCAGGAAACTGAGGCAGGAGGATCGCTTGAGCCCAGGAGTTGGAGGCTGCTGCAGTGAGCCGTGACGACATCACTGCACTGTAGCCCGGGCAACAGAGTGAGACTCTGTCTCAAAACACACACACACACAAACAAACAAAAGCCCCATTCTGGCTGTCTAGCCCAATTCGGGAATTTTCCCATCCTGCCTAATTCACAAGGAAGAAAAGGCCAAGAGAGTCCATCTTGGTTTTACGAGGATCGAATATGCATCCGAGCTGAGGAAAAGTAGTATCACAGAGTAGGAGCACGTCAGACAGGGCTGCGATGGTGGAGTTCTCTTTGCTGTTCCCTTTTTAGCAACGTAGGGACGGGGCGAGAAACAATAACAGCGTCAAGTTACCACGACATCCTGGCCCCTTAGAAGAAATTTCCCGTCCTCGGCTCATATAAAAAAGCCCCTGACGGACTGGTTCTGCTCTGTTCTGGCCATATTCCCCGGAACCTTCAAAAGGAAGTTTTGTTTTTTTTTTTTTCTGTTTCAGTTTTAATTTTTCTTTCATTTGCGTGAAAATGTTATTCCTCTTCCTTTCTGGGAAGAGGCCGGGTTTGTCAGGATCTCCCCCAGGCTGTGCCACAAACAGGGAGAGGCCCGTGCCAGCCCGCCCCAGCCGCAGACTGCGGAATCGGTCAGCGCCTCTGCTCGGGAGCAGCGGGCACAGCCAGGCACTGCTCCCTCAGTTTGATGACGAGCGTCAAGTGGGCTGTTGTTCCTTCATGTCAACCGCCCTCAGATACAAATGTTTAGGTTACGTGTGTTGCCTTTCTTCCCCCCCGGAGTCAGAGCTTCAAGCGCGTCCATCCCCCAGATGATGAGCATGGCACTCATGATGTGTGCATATGCCCATCCCTCCCCCTCCCACCCGCACAACACCCGATAGCTGTTACTCCTACATGCGCACTTAGGTGTTGACCCGTTAGTACCAATTTGCGGGTGAGCACATGTGGTGCTTGTTTTTCCATTCTTGAGATACTTCACTTAGTAGAATGGGTTCCAGCTCTATCCAGGAAAATACAAGAGGTGCTGTATCACCATTGTTTCTTAAAGCTGAGTAGTACTCCATGGTAAAGACATACCACATTTTATTAATCCGCTCGTGTATTGATGGGCACTTGGGATGAACAGCTGTTTCTAACAGTGTGCACCAGCCAGCTCCCCAAGGACAGGGACAAGGCCTCAGGCATCTGCGAGGTGCTGCCCCCACAGACCATTCGTAAGGAAATTCTTTGCTGGCCTCTATGAACAAAAACATGTCAATCCATAGCTTTAGGTGTGCAGTCTAAGTCTAGCTCCTAAAACTGAAGTCTGTCCAATTTCACACTGATGATGTTGATTCCAAGCTTATTTTCCCAGGTGCCTTGACCTCACAAAACCCCATGCAGCTAATTTTTTAAAAATTACTTTTGTAGAGATGGGATCTTGCTGTGTTGCCCAGGCTGGTCTGGAACTCCTAGCCTCAAGGGATGCCCCCACCTTAGCTCCCAAATTGCTGGGAGTGGCAAGGTGTGGTCTCTGTGTGCCTGGTTTTCAACTTCAGGATGCATCACATTAGCTGGAAGGCATGTTAAAGTGCATACTGCTGACCCCACTCCAGAGTGGCTGACTCTGTAGGACTGGGCAGGGCCCAGGAATCTGCATTTCTAACAAGTTCTCAGGTGCTGCTGAGGCTGCTGGGCTGGGGGGCTGCTAGCCCAGAGGATCTCAAAGCTCCTGGTTTTCTTGTAATTGGGGGTGATACAGAAGTCCAAATGTTAAACATCTTTGGAAAGGGAGAGGGTTTAAAAAAGGAGGAAAGAAAGCATTCTTCTAGAAATCTAAAGGAAAAGAAAAATTAGATATTAAAGAATAGAGTACAGCCTGGCTTGATGCAAAAGGAAGCATTTAAGGATTTCCATGCAAGCCAAGAAGCCTGGATCCAGGAGGCTTTAATTTAATGCTCAGAATCTGATTCCGTGTCTAGGCATCAAAGAAGGAAAAAGCAGAGGTAATAATTTGGCTATAGTTTCTTTCCTTAAAACCCATTTTGCAGGGGCCTTCTGAATACTACTGTGACTGTGTGTCCTTGATTTTCTGTTAGAGAATTAGTTGCAAATTTTCTACCCCATCATTTCTGTAACTGCATTCAATTTTTGTTCATAAAACAAGTTGCCCATTCACAGCTCAGCTCACCATAGATCCCTCTGCCTTCGTGCCTACATTAATAGTCTCACTCTGCCACCACGCTACAAACCCCCAAACTTGTATCAGTTTATTTATCAGATTTCTTCTTCTGCACCTACAGCTGAGTTTTGCTGGGGAAATGGCACCACCATGCTTATACACTTGTTTTCTCCCGGGGCTGGGGCAGAGGGAGACGCGGTGTGAGGAACACGTGAGGAAGTCAGAGTGGTGCAATTTCCTCCCTGCGAGCACCCAAATCTATCGTAAAAATACAAAGAATTATATCGGATGCGATCTGATTTGTTGTGAAAGCCAGCACGGGGTGCCTAATTTGTCCTGAAGTGATGCAGCGTCAGATACAGGAAGGAGAAGATTAAATGAAGTCAGAGATTGTGGATAGGATGCTGGGGGTACCCAGGCTAAGAATTCATTAGGAGCTGGGACCCAGGTTTGTTTTAGGTTCCGAGGAGAGAGCCTCCACCGAGTGACTTGTGTGTGGCTGGTGGATCTACGCTGACCCCCGAAATAAGTGACTTGAGGCTAAGACCTCAATCAATGGAAGCTTGATAAGCCAAGTTCGAGGATGCACCTGGGAGAAACACAGGCCAGAGATGCATCCCTGGTTGTTTTTTCCAAAGCGGGGTCTGGAAACTTTCAGGGCAGAGGCACGCAGGAGAAACAGAGGAGAGGGCTGGGCAGTGAGGCAGATGGCGACATTCTTTGGAGGCCCAGGAAAGGCACATATCATATGAGATGTGATACATGGATGTTTGGAGAAGACGGGATTAAAGGAAGAGTGAATGAGGCAGATGTCTCTGTTCTGCACCTGGGAAGATAAACCTGTCAACCTTGTGAGTGTGGAACTGGACGCACAGCGGTGTTAGGAGCTAAGACTTAGCCTGAAGACTCCAATTTGTAATCTGCATGTCCTTGTTTCTGGGAGGCCGGCAAAGAATTTCCTTAGGAATGGTCTGTGGTGGCAGCTCCCCGGGCCGAAGCACAGTGTTAGTAACAGCTGCTTATTTATTTATTTATTGAGACAGAGTCTCGCTTTGCTGCCCAGGCTAGAGTGAGTGCCGTGGCGTCAGCCTAGCTCACAGCAACCTCAATCTCCTGGGCTCAAGCAATCCTCCTGCCTCAGCCTCCCGAGTAGCTGGGACTACAGGCACGCGCCACTATGCCCGGCTAATTTTTTCTATATATCTTAGTTGGCCAATTAATTTCTTTGTATTTATAGTAGAGACAGGGTGTCGCTCTTGCTCAGGCTGGTTTCGAACTCCTGACCTCAAGCAATCTGCCCACTTTGGCCTTCCAGAGTGCTAGGATTACAGGCGTGAGCCACCGCGCCCGGCCAGTAACAGCTGCTTATTGGGAAGGGGGTGTTGCATGTTTATAGTTTTCAAACTTCTCAGGGTTCTTAGTGTGCCCTCTATAGCATTTGTATTTGTTCAGGTCTAGCTCCCCGTGCCCTCTATAATTACTTTTATGCCTCAGGTCCTGCAACCTGATCTTCACCCCCGTGTGCTGAGAAATTGGGTGCACAAAGTGAACACTTTCCCACTCCAGATCTTCTCCCCTGCAAAGCCAGACTTTCCATCTGGGCTCCCAGTCTCCTCCCTCCCTTCCTCTATGACCTTCTGTCTTGAATTACATTGCACACTCCCCTCTCACCTTTGCTTCAATTTCTCCCACTTGCAACAGCAGACTGCAAATTGCTCGAGTTTCTCATTTTAAAAGATCACAGTCAAATGCAATTTCCCCCTGTGTTAATGCCTTGTGGCCACTCTCCTAAAGAAGTAAACTACATTTTCTAGGTTTTTTTCACTTCAGGAACACATTAAAATTTGAACCCTGCTTACATGACCTTGACCTAAATTAAACTACGCCATGTATAATATATAAACTAATATATATATATATTAGTGACTTCATAGTTTAGTTTTGTTTTCTAAAGGGGGCAATCTTACTTGAACTCCCTAATGATGCATTTGAACTGCTGATGATTCCCTGCTTCTGTGAAATCCTCTGAGGTCTTGACTTCTATAGGGTCATCCTGTTCCCGCTGATTGAACTTCTGCAGCCGCCTTTTTGATCCGCATTGCTGGACTCAGTTCTGCTTGCCTCCTGAAATATTCCCTTTCGTGCTGATCTAGGCTTTCTTCTCGCTTCACTTTGCATATTCTTTCAAATGACACCCTTGTGGTTTTAGCCACAAGCTAGAGATAGACTTTACTACAGTTTTGCTGTCCAATTGTACATTTCTAATACGACTTTTCTCCTGAACTTTAAGCTGTTTGTCCAACTTTTCAGTACACAGCTGCACCATTAGATTCCACAGACATTTTTAGCTCAATATGTTTCGAAATAAATCGACTATAGTTATGGTGATTCTCTGACTTCCACTTGAATTTCTGTTGCAATTTCTGCTCCCACCCATGATCACCCTAATTCATGAATGTGGAAATCATCCTTACTTCCTCTTCTTAACCCAGAGACACAACATTTAGTTGTGCAGGTGGTTCACTGGAAAAAGGAGGCCCAGGTCGTGGGATAGATACATCAAGGATTGGCAAGCTCTTTCTGAAGGGCCAGGTAGTAAGCACGTTAGACTCTGAATACCATAGGATACCATAGGGTTTCTGTTGCAACTATCTAACTCCACTGCTATAATGCAAGATCAATCATAGACAGTGTGTCAACTAATAAGAGTGGCTGGGTTCCAATAAAAATTCACAAAATAGATGTAGTTTGCCATTCCCTGGGTTAGAGTTGGGGGTCACTAAAATCCAGACTGTGTCCTGCTTGGCTAAACCACGGGGCCCAGAGTGGGCACGCAAAGAGCGCTACTGGGGCTAGAGATTTTATTGCCTTAAACCCCTACCCCCCAAATTTAATCACCACGTCATTTCAATTTTATTTCTCAAGTATATCTTGAATACATGCCTTCTCCTTTCCAAATTCACTGTCATTGCCTAAGTTTAGCCCTTGAACCGTAAGTATTTCAAAGGCTTTGTAATCTGACTTTATATCCTAAAGTCCACAAACAAAATTACCTTCCTAAAATTCAAATCAAACCATGTCACCAACTCGCATAAAGGGAAAACTCATATATTCTAACACAAAGCACATTTGATCTAAGTTTACACCCCTGATCTTCCATCACCCCTTCTCTTGAGCTTCGTATTCTGGCATCGCTGAGGCAGGTGCAGTCCCAAGAGGCACACATGTCTGCTTGCCCACTGTCCCTCTGCATTTGCTACCTCCCCTTCTTAAAATTTCCACCCAAAAAAGTCACATTTGGACCCCAAAACTAGGCTCAATTGTCATATTTCTATGAATATTTCCCTTGAATTCCCCCTAACAGCAGACAGAATTAACCACTTCCTCTTCTTTGCAAGTTCTTAAACGTACATGCACGTCAGTGATTAGACATATCACGCTACACTGGTAGTCAAATGTACCCCTGACTGTATCTCTGTCTCCCTTACTACACCAGGTGCTTGAAGGAGTATAGGAACTTTCACCCCAAAATATGACTCCTTGATATAAAGAATATTTTTAATTAAAAGTCTTTTTTTTTTTTTTTAGACAGAGTCTCACTTTGTTGCCCAGGCTAGAGTGAGTGCCATGGCGTCAGCCTAGCTCACAGCAACCTCAGACTCCTGGGCTCAAGTGATCCTTCTGCCTCAGCCTCCCAAGTAGCTGGGACTACAGGCATGCGCCACCATGCCCGGCTAATTTTTTGTGTATATATTTTTAGTTGGTCAATTAATTTCTTTCTATTTTTAGTAGAGACCGGGTCTCGCTCTTGCTCAGGCTGATTTTGAACTCCTGACCTCGAGCAATCCGCCCGCCTCGGCCTCCCAGAGTGCTAAGGATGACAGGCGTGAGCCACCGCGCCCAGCCTTAAAAGTCTTGTTAATGGAAAAATCCTCAACTCTGTAAAATGACTTGAAGACATTTATTTCTGAATCGAATATGTGTGGCCATGGCCCCCGGAGCCAGACCCAAGGAGTCTTGAGTAAGTGGCCTGGAGGCTGCTGGGTTTCAGTTTGGTTTTACACATTTTAGGGAGACAGGAATTGCAGGTAAAATCATAAATCAGTACATGCAATGTGTATCTTACTGCCTCAAGGACTCTGTTTTGATCTCTGTTTTAACATTAATGCTGGTCAATTGTTGTATCTAAACCATTCATGCAGAAGGGAGCGGTACAACAGGATGTGTCTGACCTCCCTTCCCTTCATGGTATGAAACTCAGTTTTGAAGTTTTCTGGGGTTCCCTTGGCCGGGAGGAGGTCCGCTGAGTCAGGGAGGGGGCTCAGGATTTTACTTTACTTTATAGCCCTTACAGGGCAACAGGCCTTGGAAGGGACTTTCTCTCATCTCCACAAAGACTAGAGGGGCCCATCAAGAAAAGTTGTCCTTTTTCCGGCCATTAATTTACAATCATAGATGGAAAAAAAAGAAGAAAAAATTTTTTAATATTAATATAATTTATATATATATATATATATATATAAAAAGAACAGTTGTCTTCTCTTCCCTTCCCCGTTTTCTCCCTATTTATTGCAGGAAAGAAGACCAAGAAGGTAACTAGAATGGCCTGATCTTTTACAAAATAATGCCTGTCTCTCAGGTTCATTGAACTTCTAAAGAAAATCATTTGCAATCTCTGCTCCCCCCATCCATTTATTCTCCCAGGTAGCATTCATTCTCACTCTCAGCAGTGATCATTGATTGCCCCTCATCAGAATTATCCATATTCCCCATCCCCCCTCCCCTCGGAAACAAGGTTGGGTAAGTATTGGGGTCTCGCTGGGATCCCAGGTGATCGCTGTGTGATTCTCCCTGTGTGCATGGTAATGATAAACTTCGTATGCCTTTCCTCTCATTGATCTTTGTTGTGAGTTGATTTTTCAGCAAACCTTCTGGAAGGGAAGGGGAAGGCTTCACTTCACCCCAACACACTTCCTAAAGACGAAAACTGTGTTTTCATCACCTGTAATTCCGCAGCACCTAGCACAGGACCTAGCATATAGTGAATCCTCAAGTGCCATTGCACTGAGTTGACTTGAGTTCTTCTGAAGGCTGAAATCTGAAAGCAGCCACTTTCTGAAACCGCTTCCCAGAGAGGCCTAAAATATGGACGTGTTTCTGTTTTACATGCAGAAAGAACTTCCAGATCATTATAGTCCTTGGATGGAAATTGCCAAAAAACTTCCTCACTTGATTGAGACTCACCAGCTTCGAGCTCATGTGAACAAGGTATATCTTTTTCTTCTTCTTCTTCTCCTTGCCCCTTTCTCATCATTCTTTTCTCTCTTAGCCTTGTGGAAGTGGGTCAGTTGAACTGGGAGAGTAATCATTGCCATTGAGCTTGTCAACAGCAGAGCTGTCTCAGCCTTCCTGAAGAATAGATCGTCTCCTTCCTGTTATGATACACGTATTTGCGTAAGGTTCCCAGAACCAGGACAGTACATGCTTGGCACATATTAACCAAGAATCTGAGTGGTAATTTCAAACAAGCCGATGGAGAACTTTTAGCCTGGGAAGGGCAGACGTGGAAATTCTTGGGGTCCCCATTCCACATTGCATGGTCATTGCCTCTGAGCAGGTCTACCCTGCTTGTCATGAGTCTGGTAGAACAGCTGAATCCAGAGAGTTTCTGGTTACAAAGTCACGATTGGCCATGAGTTCTACAAAGATAATTGAGGAGTCTGGAAATACCACATATGTATTTACATATACCTATATATATGATGAACATTATATGACCAGATGAGCGACTTTTCTCAAATATATTTAAGGAATAGTGAAACTTCTGGTTCCAGAAAAACTGACCTCCTTGAGGAGGTAAAAAATTACCCCCTCAAGGAATAATAAAAAGGTGTATAGGAAAAACACAGATTTTGATTCAGAACGACCTGGACTTAAATCTTGGTTTCATTATTTAGTGTAATAGCTATGTAACCTTGAGAAAGTTACATAATCCTGTAATTACCCTTCCTTATTTACGAAACAAGAGAAATTCTGGACTCGTTGCTATTGTGGTGATGACGAAATCACCTTTGACGTGGCCCTTGCACAGTTCTTGCCTTACAATACCATGAACACATGTTCATGACTTCCCTCTGCTCCTATCTGCATCTGTCTTAATCTCGTACTCAGTTTGGAGAACCACATGATTTGGGAGGTACAAGAAGGGTTCTACACCTTCTAAAATTTTCCTTTGCTGACACAGTCATACTTAATGTCTGTAGGAACAAATTCATTTAAAAACAGGCGCAAGATCAGAACCCTGTAAAAGATGAATAAGAGACTGTCTTTAATGTCTGTGAAGGTGGCCAACTAAACCTAGTCATCTCTTTGCCTGTTGCATAAAAAGTTTTACTGACCTGACCAAATAAACACAAAAAGAAGAAGAAAAAAAATCCATAAATGCAGGAAAACAGAGGAAAGTACCCATGAAGGAATAAAAAACTTTAGGGATTTTTAGACTATGTTAAGCAAGTTGTGCATTAGATCCACAAATAAGTTTATAGGACTCATGCCAAGCACTTAACCAAAGGAACAGGCGACCCTCACAAGTCCTCCTTCCCCATCTAAGAATAGTAGAGAAGAGAAAGAATGGGGAGTTTGGGACAGTTGGCAGGAAGGCAGATTAGAATCCACTTGGTGAACTATCTGATCCTCCGGACCAGGCTTTATTTGATTAAACTGTCACACTTACAAGGAAGAGCTGCTTCAATTGGGGCTCCTCATGGCACAGCACTGAATTCAATCCCTAAGCATTGGTAGTGAGTTAAATAGAGTCTCCCTAGGAGTTATGGGCATGCAGAACTTGTGAGAATGACCTTATTTGGAAACAGGCTGCTTGCGGATCAATTTAGGATGAGGTCATACTGCTAATAAATTAGCGTGCACCCTAAATCCAACACAACTGGTGTCCTTATAAGAGGAGGGAAATTTGGACACAGAGACACAGACCACAGGGGAAAACACCGCGGGAAGACGGAGGCGGAGTTACAGCCGCGCAGGGGCGAGCCAGAGGCTGCCAGCAAGCCCCGGAAGCCAGGAGAGGACACGGATGGGCTCTCACGCAGGCTCCCAAAGAAACTGGCCCTGCTGATACCTTCCTCCATCGTGAGGCAATAGCTTTCATCACCTAGTTTGTGGCAATTTGTTATGGAAGCCCCAGGAAACTAACCGAACGCTCTGCCTCTATCCCTCCTTCTAATTATTTATAAAATACCTGACATGGCGAGGGCGCGGTGGCTCACGCCTGTCATCCTAGCACTCTGGGAGGCAGAGGCGGGCGGCGGATCATTTGAGCTCAGGAGTTCAAGACCAGCCTGAGTAAGAGGGAGACCCCCTTCTCTACTAAAAATAGACGAATAAGCCCGGCATGGTGGCGCATGTCTGTAGTCCTACCTAGTTGGGAGGCTGAGGCAGGAGGATCGCTTGAGCCCAGGAGGTTGAGGTGATGATGATGAGCTATGATGACATCATGGCACTCTAGCCCTGGCAACAGAAGGAGACTCTGTCTCCAAAAATAAATAAATAAATAAATAAATAAAATAAATTAATAGCTATTTAAATAGCTAAAATTAAAAAAAAAATCTGGCTATACCAAATGCAGGAAAGAATGTGTAGTAATAGGGACTTTCATTCACTGCTGGTGGGAATGCAAAATAGTGCAGCCAGTTTAAAAGTTTCTTATACATTAAATATAGACAGACTTATTAAAGGAATCAGTGTATGAATAACTGAGTGTGTGAATAACTGAGTGTACGAATAACAAGTTTCATACACTGTAAAAGATGAATAAGAGACTGTCTTTAATGTCTGTGAAGGCTGCAAACTAAACCCAGTCATCTCTTTGGTTCGACTGGGTTTGAATAGTCAATCAGTGTATGAATAACAAGTTTTATTCACAATCGCAAAAAAAAAAAAATCCCCAAAAAACCCCCAAAAACCTTGAAGCAGCCGAGATACCCCTCAACAGGGGAATGAATACACTAAACAAACTGAGTTACAGCCACCCTAAAATAGTGGAATACGGTTAGGTGATCAAAATGAATGAGCTATCGGTTTGTGCGACCACATGGATGAAACTTAAGTACGTTTCGCTAAATGAAAGATGCCAGACCCAAGAAGGCCACACATGCCATGACGCCGTTCCTGTGACGTTCTGGAGAAGGCAGAACATCACAGGAAGCAGATCAGGGATTACTGAAGGAGGGAAGCAGATCAGGGGTTACCCGAGGCGGGAGAGGAGGAAGTAGCTCACCACACGGGGCTTCCCCGGGGGAGTTTGTCGGGTGAGGGAGCTGTCCTCTCTGGTCCCCGGGCTGGCGGACACGACACTGCACACTGTGAAACCCACAGAATTGTCTGTCACAAAGAAGGGACTTCCACGTACGTACATTTTTAAAAAGTGGACCAGCATGTTGGGGGATGCCGGGGTGGAATGCAGACTGTGGCGAATGTCCCTAACTGGACTACAGGTGACCTCGGTGAAGAGGGCCGGGGGGTGGGGACATGGAGGTGACCTAGTTACTTTGGAAAATGGCGTTCTGACGGGAATCTGTAAGGCTAGAGGGGAAGGAACGTGACGTGACTGCAGCACTCTAGCTGGCAAGCTGGGATCCTGTGGGCGCAGGGGAGCGTTTCTGAGGGTGCTCTCCCTGCAGGCTTGCCGCCCCGCGCCCGGTCACCGCACTGCGCAGACTGCAGGTGCGTGCCAGCCCGTGCCACGCTCGGCTGCCAGCGTCCAGCTGTGCGTGCTCCCTTCGTGTCTCCGCGTCATGCCTGGCAGTTCTCACAACGTCCAAAACCTTTTCTTTGTTACTATATCTGTTACGGTGATCTGTGACCAGCGATCTCTGATGTTACTATTGTAATTGTTTCGGGGCACCGTGAACCAGGCCCACATGGACTGCAGATCTAGTTGGTGAGTGCCCCCCCTGTTCTGCTCCTCCACCAACCAGCCGCTCCCCCATCTCTCCCCCTCTGCTTGGGCCTCCCGATTCCCTGAGACAGAATGATTTTATAATTAGGTAAATTAATAACCCTACCGTAGTATATAAGTGTTCGAGTGAAAGGAAGAACCAAGAAGTAAGAGGCACTTTTCAGGCCGGGTGAGGTGCTCACGCCTGTCATCCCAGCACTCTGGGAGGCCAAGGCGGGCGGATTGCTCAAGGTCAAGAGTTCGAAACCAGCCTGAGCAAGAGTGAGACCCCGTCTCTACAATAAATAGAAAGAAATTAATTGGCTACATATATAGGAAAAATTAGCCGGGCATGGTGGCGCATGCCTGTAGTCCCAGCTACTCGGGAGGCTGAGGCAGGAGGATCGCTTGAGCCCAGGAGGTTGAGGTTGCTGTGAGCTAGGCTGACGCCACGGCACTCACTCTAGCCTGGGCAACAAAGCGAGACTCTGTCTCAAAAAAAAAAAAAAAAAAAAGAAGCACTTTTCAATTGCTCAGGAATGATTTCAGTAACGTGAATACAAATTAAAATGAAGGACTCAGAAAAGGGAAACTTGAGTATGTAGGATACAAGGACAAACGATGAAACCGGTAAATTTTATGGTCATCCCTAAACAATCACTGATAATGTGACTGTGAAACAGGAAACAAATGACTAAAATAAGTTGTGCATGCATTGTGCGTATGTGTGTGTGCGCACACATTCCTGTGACCAAGCTGTGTTAACATGATGGAGCAAAAACTCCGTATTTCTTTTTAACAAAACTCGGGACAAGGACATGGTGGTGTGAGAGTTGTGAAAGTAAAATCACATTTGTACTGGTTTGATATGTTGTGTTATAAAGCAAATGCTGTTATAAATAACCACAAGGTAAGAAGATTTGCCCTCTCAGTTATCATGACTTTATAACTATAGAAATTAAGACCAGTCAATATTGGGGCAGCAATAAACAGAGAGAACCAAAACTACAATAGAGAACCTACATCCAGACCCATGTACTTATGGAAGCTACATACATGACAGAGTTGAGACGGTGCATCAGTGGGGACTATAGTAGCGTCGGATGACTGACCGTCCACACCTATCGCATGCGTGTCACAAAATGATAAGTTGAGTCTATTCCTTTCAACACAAACAAACACTAAAATCATTCCAGATGGATAACAACTTTTTTTTTAATTTCAGCATATTATGGGGGTATAAATGTTGAGGTTACGTATATTACCCATGCCCCCCCACCCCCTCGAGTCAAAGCCTCAAGCGTGACCATCCCCC